CTTTTTCGCGATAACTCATCAAATGTCTGCAGTTTACGTGGTTTTTATCACAAATGTTAAGCCTAATGGTTTCACAGTATTGCTGTATATATATATATATATATGAATAGTGTTTCAAAGAAATTTTTGTCTCTAATTATCCATCCCAACTGATGAGTTCCAGTAATAATTCAATATCACTGAAAAAAATTGGAAGAAAGAAATTACTTATATTTAAGTTGTAATAAGTTAAATATATTAATATATTTTAGTGTGTTAACAAATGTAAAGACTTGGTGCATTTATTATACGTAATGAGGTGGTTGCCTTCGTCAAGAGGTTACCATAACTTGAGATTATAAAATGACGACAGTTCACTGTCAGAAGGTTGCCGAATATTAATTATTAAAAAAGAAAAAAAAACACTGCAAGGGTCGTGCACTCACTAAACTTTTTATACGATCAGAATCTGCTAAAACAAAATGATTGCTACTAGCAATCAAACCGGTTTGGACACCTCATACCCGTCAACATAATAGCAACGACATAAATATTTATGTTATCACTGCGAATAATTCAAATAATAGTATCAACGACCAAGTTTCGTTCAGTATGTTAAAACTTCTAGTTTTGTGTTTGTATATATATATACATGTTCGCTATCTTGATCTATACATAGAAACTTTTGTTTTTCCACCCGATTTTATCCTGTTTCATATTTTTAGGATTTCGACTTGAATATCATTAGCAGGCATGTTTTTAATTTAACACTTTTACGGTGTATATTTACCCTGTTGTTACCTCTATTTAATCCGCATCAAGAACACACTACACCGGAAGGAGATTAGAAGGAAGAGGGTTAGGAAAATTGAGATATCACTAAAAATTATATTTACCTATATAATCATCACAGTTACATTAACTATGGTCCAATTCACCTTTCACAAGTTACCAACTTGAGTAAACACGATAACAAATTTACTCAAATGTGTGAACCAATTGAAAACATCTGTGAAAAATTACGAACTCGAGATATAACTGAAAACGATCCAAGAGTTACATTATCCAATTGAAACCCAGCTGGGGCAAGTTATTAATTAAGTTCTCCACTTTTTATATCCAAAAGCAATTTAATAGAATATAAATAAAAGCTCCAGATATCTAAGATGTGTCTTTCAATATTTCACACAGTGTTCGCCTATTGGTAAGAAAGTAATATCTCAAAAAGTATTTGTTGAACTTCAACCAGCCCCCCAGTGGCATGTCTGCGAACTTATACTGCTAGAAACCGGGTTTCGAGACCCGTGGTGGGCAGAGCACAGATAGCCCTTTGTGTAGCTTTGTGCTAAATAACAAACAACAACAACTTCAACCAACATGAATTAACAGAAAGATTGGATGTTACCACCCAAAAACCAAGTTGTGAGGACATTGGTGTTAATAGCTTGAAGGTAGTTTTTACAAAATATAAAAAGAATATACTCGATATAACATATAGACCAGTGATATTATAGGTTTCTTTCAGCATTTGCCCAGTGAGCATAATCCAAGGTTCGAATCACGCTCAGTTTCTTTTTTTCACTTCTTAAAATATAGGAGTTTAATAAACCATACAAGTTCAGAAACCACTTGACATATACTGTACAATACACTACTGAATCAAATAACCCATAACAGAAAGTTATCCTTTCAAACTATAACAGCGTTCGTAATTGACTTACTTAATCAGCTTTTGTTTGAAACATATCTTATCAAGAATACCTAGCAAATCTTAATAAAGCAATATTCTCAATGTGGGAGAGTTCATTAACACATTATCCTGTGTTTTCAGTGTTCACGGTGTTAATCGTGACCTGTTTTGGCACTTGACCCGGTTTATACTTCTCCCAATCTTCCTCTGGTGACCCAGTGGTAAGTCGAATGCTTTTAACACTAAAAATCAGGTTTCGATATCCGCATTGAGCAGAATATAAATTTATATTCTGGCAATTGTGTAGCTTTGTGCTTATAAACATACAATCAAATTATCCCAGTCTATTAAAATAGAGTTCTATTTCTCTGAGTTTATTAGATCAAATTCCTGTTTTTTCTGGACTATTCAAATCGAATTATATTTCTCCCAGCCTATAAGGCCCGGTTTCCGTTTCTTCCAGTCAATTCAAATCGGTTTCTATTCCTCCCAGTCCATTACACCCGGTTTCTTTTTCTCCCAGTCTCGACAAATTGGATTCTATTCCTCCCAATCTCTTACACTCGGTTTCTTTTCCTCCCAGTCTATTCAAAATTGCCCCTCAGTGGCACAGCGGTATGTCTGCGGACTTACAACGCTCGAATCCGGGTTTCGATACCCGTGGTGGGCATAGCAAAGATAGTTCATTGTGTAGCTTTGTGCTTGATTACAAACAAACTATTCAAATCGGGTTTTATTCCTCCCAGTCTCTTAAACACGATTTCTTTTTCTCCCAGTTTATTCAAATCGGATTCTAATTCCTCCCAATCTCTTACACCCGGTTTCTTTTCCTCCCAGTTTATTCAAATCGGATTCTACTCCTCCCAATCTCTTACACCCGGTTTCTTTTCCTCCCAGTCGATTCAAATTAGGTTCTACTTCTCCCAGATTCTTACACTCGGTTTTTTTTTTCTCACAGTCTATCATACTGGGTTCTTTAAGTTAAGAGCTTGAACAACATCTCACCAACATAATTAAAAATAGGCTAATTTATTTCTTGCTAAGTGAGTTAAACAAAACAGAAATAACTAGTGTAACACAGGGTGTACTGTTCGTTTAATAGGACACACCACTACAATTTTAAATACCGCTTGTAGCAGCTGTTATTATTTATATATTAGAACCGGTTGTAGGTTCTGAAACAGACATGAAAATGGATAATCTTTGTCTAACAGCAGCTCCCACTGTTTATTCAATCAAACCGGATAATAATTCTAGTGTTTATTCAATCAAACCGGATAATAATTCTAGTGTTTATTCAATCAAACCGGATAATAATTCTAGTGTTTATTCAATCAAACCGGATAATAATTCTAGTGTTTATTCAATCAAACCGGACAATAATTCTAGTGTTTATTCAATCAAACCGGATAATAATTCTAGTGTTTATTCAATCAAACCGGATAATCATTTTGAAAGTAGCACAGCACCTGCTGTTATGCTAACAAACGTGTGATCGATTCAGTAAAAATCTATCTAGTATAGCATGTAACTTGTTACACGTGTCTTTTATAATGTCATCTTCATACTTACAAATGAAGGGAAACAGATCAATGAGCACTATATATTTAACACTTAACGTTAATTAAGCGTATGTTTAAAATATCATTTACTACTGAAATACAAGCATAATTATTGTAAATTTACTGTTTGACAATTCAGTGACGTAATGTTATTATATTTTTAATTTTCGTTTATCACTAAGACAATAGTCCTTAATAAAAACTGCAATGTTTCACACTGATATATTTAAGTTGCATCTGAATGATCGTACTACTTGTCTAACAAGTTCGAAAACATGCTTTGAAGTACCCCGGTTACTGCAGGGTTATTACGCATAGTTCTAATATTTGATACACCCTCTTATTAGAATGCTGTACAAGAATAGAATACTTTGGGTTTTGATCTACATCACAATACAGCGCGCAAGCAACGAGTTCTACAAGTTTATAATTTTAAGAAATACAATAGTACAGAAGGTACAATTATTAATTTTGCATTTGAAATCAGTCAAACATATCTGACACTTGACGTTCAGACAAAAATATTTGTATATGCTGCAGACGAATATCGAGGTTCTTACACGTTTTATAACAATTGGAATTTACCATTGTCACAAATGAAAATATTTAATCACGATTTTGCTTATTATTTCAAGATTAGATTGATTCAACTGGTATTTTATATAATATCACATATTAAGTTAAATAAAAAAGAAAACAAGATTAACATGTTAATACCTTAAATAATCTATATATGTATTTCCGGAAATTATATTTAAATGGGAACAACTTAAAATTTATTGTAAAAAAGAACAAACAATTCAACGTGCACTGAAGTTTGGTCAGTTTATAATTAAGCACAAAGCTACACAAGAGACTATCTTTCCTACTATGAGTATCGAAACCCGGTTTTTAGTGTTGTAAGTCCGCAGACATACAGCTGTGCCACTAGGATGGCACAAAATTAGCCCAAAATTATGGTTAATATTAAACTATTGAATTTGACCAAAATATTTAATATCTGTCTGAAAACTTTAAAGAAATTTATTTGTTTTTTGGTTTGAAAGTTATTATTTAGATACATCTATATGCATAGTATATAAATCAACTCACAACAAGGTATTTAACAAAACGGAAATATTTACAGTAATTCACTATAAGATACGTTTATATTTTCTATATATGTGACTTGTTTGTTTGTTTTTGGAATTTCGCGCAAAGCTACACGAGGGCTATGTGCGCTAGCCGTCCCTAATTTAGCA